GTGTCCATAGTGTGCTGGTGTGAGCTCTGTGTGGGTAAACAGAATCTGTAAATAGATTTAGCTGTCCAGGACATCAGATACGTGACTGCCAGCAGAGGCTTTTTGGTCTCCGCTGGTACAGTTCCTCCCCTGCCCAATGTGATGTACACAGATGTAGGAGCTGGATGGCCATGGAAAAATGGATGATGACTCAGTCGGAGACAAGTGGAAACTCTCAGAAATCTGCCCTCCCCCTATCACAAGGCCAGGAGTCACCACGCCAGCAATTGACAGCAACTGCCCAGCCTTCAGTGAAATCTATCTTTCCCCCTCTTGGAGGAAAAGCCATTCTGACAAGGGCTCTAAGTAACAGATTTTAGTCTCTGATTGGAATGGGGGACGTGAGGATCAACTGGGCTGTGGGAAATGAAAGGGAACCATTTACAGACGCAGACCAACGTCCTGGTGCCCCAGCTCCGCTGCCGATGCTCAGCCCCAGCACAGCTGTCTTCGTAATGACTAAGGAGAGACAGCCCAAACGCCGAGCTGGGTTACCGGGTTTCTACTGGGGCGGTCAGAGTTTTAGCCAGCGCTCAGGCAATGCTCTCCTAAACTTCAGCTGAACCGGGGTCACTATCCTTGCATAAGGAGTTAAAGATGAAAGATACATGTTCCAGAATACTTCTGCTACACAAACGCTTTCTTTTTCCTTCCCGTTAAGCTGTGTTCTTTTCCTGGGTCTCCCAGGCATGGATGTTTTTAGGATGCTCTTGTTTGATGTTTCAGTCACCTGGCAACTCCTCTGGAGTTTAAATTAAATCAAATTGGGTTTACAGCATCTCACAAATTTTATAGAGTTGTTATGAAAAGCAATGATGAGGGCCTGTAGCAGTTTCAGCACACATCATAGAGTGTTTGATTGAGTACAATGCCTGTTAATTCTCTATTTTTGTTTTAGAGATAGAGACATCGTATGTGTCTATTTTTATGCTAGACGTAGTAGAACATGCACATGAGGTTCCTGCTTTCAGGAAGTTACTTGTTTATCACTCGTTTGTTTAATTATCAAATATATTTTGAGCCCTTACGTGCTGAGCGCCTCGTCAAGTGCTGGTGATGTTACAAACCTGACTGCTGCCGCCTCTAGTGAGGGTAACAGAAAAAGCAACAATTAAAATACAGAGATCTACATCTACAACAGGGATAGTACGGGCTTTAGTACAAAAGTAGCCTTGCCTCGTGTCATAGGGGCACCTGGGAAAGGCATCTTGGTGGGTCAGAAGAGCCTTCAGATGGTTCATCAGTAGATGTTTTCTGAATATCAATTGGAAGTCAGATACTGAGATATCTAAGTCAGCATTTGAAGGGAAGAATTACTCAGATGGAGGGCAGGAGAGTAGAGCGCTATGAGCAGAAGAAATAGCTTCTAAGATTCCCTGAAGGCAAAGCTTGGAGTGCTAAGCACAGAGTTAAGAGCGGCGCAAATGAAGCTGGAGAAGGAATAAGACCTGCCTTGCAAAGGCCCTGGCAAGCTACGTTCCAGCTTGGACACCGTCCTCAGAATAATGGGAAATCTGACAAGGGTTCTCAGCCAGGAGTGTAAAGATAGATTGTTTTCACTATTGTGTTGAGCCTGCATCAGAGAGGGACATAGCTGGAAGACCAAAGTCTGTTTAGAAGCGATTCTAATAGACCATGGTCTCAGCTAAGGATGTGATCATGGCGATAACAGTGATAACCAAGAGAGATAACCAAGAAGAGGATTCTGAGGACTTGGTGAGAGACTGAGTAATGCGGATTAGATGAGGTAGGAGACGGAGAGGAAAGAATCCTTCTCGGCCAACTGAATGGAAGGTAGCACCATTCACTGAGATAAAAAATACAGGAGTAAGGGAGGAGGGAAAGCAGAGAATTCAGCTCTGGGCATATTGCTTTTGATGTGTCCAGGAGGCTTTTTGATGAATAAATCTGAAGCCCAGGAGAGAGATCCGTGATGGAGGAACAGATTCCAGACTTACCCAGCCGTTGACCAGATACTCCTCACTACTGTGAGGGGAGGGAGTTCTATGGGCCCCCACGCATAACAGACAATCTCCAAATCCCCTGAAATGTTTTCAGATTTGAGCTTGTTTTATATGTGTTTATTGGGGGAGGAGGAGGTAATACAAACTTGCCTTGAAAGGTCAATAGCTCTGTAAGAAGTCAAGGACCACAGAGAGAAACTGAAGTGTGTCCAGGGAGAGTGTCTTGACTGTTCTGGGTCAAAATTCAGACAACAGCACAGATGAAAAACAAGCAGAAGAGGGGCCTGCAAATGACCTTGGGTATCTAGCAGGAATATAAGTGTCAGATGAAAGGGAGTGGTTCTGAATCAATATCCCGAACAGGTCAAGTCAGGCAAGGAAAAGCGTCCCCTAGATTTTCAATGGGGAGGTCACTGTGGTCTTAGCAAGAGAGGCTGTGGTCAATTGGAGAGAGTGAGTGAGTGACAGGGGAGAAACGGAGATAGAAAGTCAGGAATGGAAACGAGAGTGCTAAGGAGGTGTCTGCAGAAAAAGACCAGGTGCCAGGTAGAAGATGGGAGAGACTTTCACAATGAATATAGAATCGAAAAGCACCAAGAGCCTTAAATAGCAGTTAACCAACCAAACCCACAGAAGCATTTAAGAAAGTCCGAAGTAGAGCTCAGAGCTCAGGGTATCTAATGAGGAGAATAGAGTCCAGGGAAGGACTTGATTGGAGCTCTGAACGTGGTCAGAATAGAATCCAGGGAAGGAATTGAGTTGAGCCCTGAAAGTGGTCAGAATAGAATCCAGGGAAGGAATTGAGTTGAGCCCTGAATGTGATCAGAATAGAATCCAGAGAAGGAATCCAGTTGAGCCCTGAATAATTGATAAGCTTTTGGACTGGTGAGAGTGATCCATTAATTAGAAGAAATCAGGGGGAAATGAGACTAAACATTCATCTATTCTCTTTCTGCCTCTTTTTGTTATCCAAAGAATATTTTCTCTGCTAATATAATACCATTACAATGGACATTGCCTATAAAAGTATGAAAGTATCACCAGGCACAAGCTATAGAACCCAATTTACAATGACTACTTGCATCCTCAGCCTTCACACATGAAGCTGGCATATTCTTTGGGGTCACAGTGTTCATTTCCTCATTTGGAATTTTTAACACCAGATATGGTGCTAAATCAATATAAGCTGGTGCTTCTATCACTTAGGTTTCAAACATCTTCCTATATATAAACACATCCCTAAATAGAGGTGCCAATGTTGGAAGGAGAGAGATCTTTTAATAAGCAACCTAGCCTAAGTAATTCCTTGCATGTGGGAGGCTGTTACAGAGCCTAGTTCATAATTAAACACTGTTTAACTGAATTATTTTTCTCTTACCTTGTTAAGAGAATGTACAAATGTTAATTTTCAAAGACGACATTTATGTGTTTCAGTTGAACGGGTATTGTTTAAATAGTAACCTTCCAGCTGATTTTAAGTGTATAGAAGGCAGAGTGTAGCTAAAAGTCCTATGTGTGTCGTAGATGCCTATGGAACTTGAGGCTTGGGTTCCCTGGAGAGTTTTGAGTAGATGGTCATTGCTTTAGGGGCTACACCTTTTAGTGAGAAGAAATCCCAGTATCTTCCAGTAAGAGTCTTAGCCATTCCTTTTCTTCCTTGTTGTAAGTGTGGCTGAGTGCTCCGATCAGATCATCAGTGCCAGAAGAGAAACCTAGCCATTGGTATACAGACATCAGAGAAGCCACCATCAGTTGCTAAAGAATCTCATCTTCCTACCTAAAAAAGGGTATTCTGTTATTTTTCCCAGTTCCTGATGTCAGCTCCAAAAGCAAATCAAATAAAACAAAACACAAGATTTCTTTGTCTTTGTGAAATTTGAATTTCTATCTTTTTGCCCGAGTTCCTGGCAGAGACCAGTTGGCTTTAACACACACGCACGACTCCGACCTATCTTGGTATTTTATCAGGGGTGCCCCGGTAACCTCCTGCGATGGACACATCTCTCCTCACATATGTTATTCCGACCTCAGGTCATGGTCATTCTGTCAACTTAGGTCTTCCCTTTCCAGAGGATGTGACCCCTGCTTGGTGTGTCGCAATTTATAACCTGCTGCCTCAACAAATAAGAAGTTGGGCTTTGCAATCGTATAGTCAAAAAGTTCGGATATGGGGATGCATTTTTGTGGAAATTGCACATTCTGTCGTTACCTCTCATATATCACGGCTTTATTCACAGGCAGCAAAGGCACAGGCTTTGCTAATGACTTCAAGCCCCTGCCACACAAAGGGCTTTTTTTTATTATTATTTTGTACCATCTTTTATTAAAGTAGTTTGGCCTGTTTCTGAGAGACCTTTGTGATTACCTGATTTTCAGTGAGTGATGTATCTGAGGATTACTGTCTCACCTCTCAGGTCAGACAGAGGCCTCAGTGGAAAGCCTCTTCCAATCTGGGGAAATGTCATTTCAGAGCTGAAAATGAGAACACTTGATTATAGCCTCTTGAGTTTATGAGTCTGGATAGCAAATGGTCTTAATGGTTATCATTCTTTTTAAACAAATAAGAATTGGCCTAATGATTTGAAGCAAAAAGAAGATAACGTTGTTCTTTAAGCCCAGAGGAAACCCACAGGAAATTGTCATAGATTTGATGACATCACAGGAAAACCTCTCACAGGGGCAGTATTTTGGGGTACCCATTGAAACCCTTGATTTTGGAGCAGCGTTGTTTTGTGGGAGCTTCAGGCCCCCACTAAACTGGTAGTTTTTCTCAAAGTACAGTGTGAGGACAGACTGTATTATAACGACCCCCATCCCAAAAGGCACCTGCTGAAAAGACTCTGAAGGCTGGGGCTGCAAATCTACACTCCACCAGACGCCTCTGGGTATCACTAACGCACTGCACGGTTTGAGCCACAACCCTACGAGTCAGACCAGGAAGGCCTCAGTGGTCACCAACTTGACTGATAATGAACTCTTTGTCTCTCTTCTGCCCAGGTGCAAGTGTAATCTCCATGCCACTGTGTGTGTGTATGACAACAGCAAATTGACATGTGAATGTGAGCACAACACGACGGGTCCAGACTGTGGGAAATGCAAGAAGAATTATCAGGGCCGACCGTGGAGTCCAGGCTCGTATCTCCCCATCCCCAAAGGCACTGCAAATACCTGTGAGTAACTTTGCCTGGTAACACCGTATTTATTCTGTGCACAATGAGCTGACCCTCGCTCTGCATTTCACTTGCAATGTGATTTTTACCCCCTCTTGACACTTGTTTCATTCCTTTTCAAACTGCATCTAAAGTTTGAGTCCCTATTTTGCCACGGAGAAGCCTGTTTTAGCACCTGGATCATGTGTTAAATTCTGTCTCCTACCATTCACGTTCAGTGTGTTGGGAGATGGTTCTTGAAATCACAGAAGCAACTTTTTCTAAGTATCTGAGACAGGGATGTATTTTTTTCTCTGCCCCTCGTTAATTTGCTATTAAAACGGGCCTTGAAAAACTCAACTCCAAATTAATTTCAGCCATAAAGAACTTACAAAAATTATTTGGATGTTTTCAATTATATTTCCCATACTGGGGAAACCAGGAGATGCTTTACCCAGATGTTTCCCTCTCCAGTTTTAGCCAGACCCTGGTTTTTCCCAGTAAAATAATTGGCTTTTTTCCAAACTTCCACAGTGGAGCCATGCCTGCAATGAGTCCTGTGAGTAGAGGTCACTCTCGGGTAAAGAACGTGACTGCAGGCCTGTGGTACCACATTAAGAAGGACTTTTGTGAGCGTGTGAAAGAGCACAGGCATTAACAGTGTTTATAGAAACCACCTGAGACACCCCATTCCCACTCATGCGCATCTCTGATTATTCCTAGGAAAATAGGCTCTGACCTACTCAAAATGATTATTTCTGAAATAATTTGCCCAATTCTATGGATATAGACCAATTAGCCATCTGCAAAAGCCCAAAGTTTGCCCTTTTTAAAAAGTAGAGAAAGGAGGCGATTAGAATATACCCATTCAGCGAGAACTAAGGGAAGCTGCAGGACCGTGAGTTCAGGAGAATGAGAGCTTCGGCCTCCACCAGCTCCGTGCAGGGCTAAGAATGTTATCAGGCTCTTCAAAGAAGCAACTGCGAGAAACCAAACCCAAAAATGTGTATCAGAGGAACCAGGACCTTATCAGCTTAAATGGAGGAGTAATGGGGCCAGGTAACAAGCCATGAAGTGCAGGGCATGAAATTACGATAGAGTTTCTATGAAGCAGGGAAAAAAATCCTTCAAAAGGTTAAAAAAAAATTCCCTCTATTCTAAGAGTATTCACTTTCTTTCTGTGTTAAAGAAAAAGACTGACTTCTTGCTCCTAAAATTAATACATTAAAAGCTCTGTTGAGCAAAAATGTTGATTTTTCAAGGCGGTTTTATTAGTAGAGACTCTGTGACCTTCCCTCCATTGTCAAGGGCCAGAGACTCATGAATTCAAAAGGGATCTTTCGGGGTTATTGTTGCAATACCCTATGGCTGGCTACCTAAAATCTCCTGGGTCCACCGCTGTCAAATTTAGTTTAAAGCTTTTCCAAGGGGAAAATGGTCCAGATTTCTTTTTCAGTTTCCAGTTGATTTCAGTGGGACAGGCTGAGGAAGAGAAGGAAGTTTACAAATGCCTGGCTGGCATTCTGGCTCATTCTTAGGCAGGCCAACTTGCCCAGGCCACCTCAGAGGCAGCTGGGGTTAGCTGCTGTTCAAGCCGTCAGCTTCTGTTCCAACATGACCCCATTCTTCAATCCAGAATCGGGCTTAAAAGTCTTTGTTCACTGTGGGACATTTTCATGGAGGCGACTGTCTCATTCCAGCCAACATTTCTGACTGATATGTATTTCTTGTTACATTCTCCATGGAAATGACTTACATATCCCTAACCTTTACATAGTGAGGATCACCAAGTCACTACCTGGTCAAAGGAACAAAATCTCTTTCAATTTTCCTTGCAGATCCAGTTGTACTTCTATTCCTTGGTTTTTGTGGGTTTTTTTTTTTTTCCTTTGGCCGGGACTGGGTTTGAACCCACCACCTCCGGCATATGGAGCTGGCACCCTACCCCTTTGAGCCACAGGCGCCACCCCGATTCCTTAGTTTTTACCGGCTTTCTCTACACTTCTTAGGCCTTTTCCTCATGCCTGTTAAACTAAGAAGGTGACAGATGGACCCAGTGGCCAAGGGAGTTCAATCCAATGTTTCAGAATGGCAGATGCTAGAAGAAAGATTTCAGAAGTAATCTGCAGTTGTCCAGCCTTGCAATGGAAAAGTCTTGCAAGAGAAAGAGCCCCTTCTATGAAATCTCTGACACATTAGACTATGCTCTAAAACATTTATGGAGGGAAGTAAGCAACGCAGTAGCTTCGTGCACAAGTTGGAGGATCAAGTCCCAGTTCCTCCGTTCACTAGTTGTGTGACCTTGAAGAAGTAAGCCAACCTTTCCCACACTGCTTCCCATCTGCAATGTGAGAATAATAACAGCTCTTACCTCGCAGGGATTTTTGAGAGGATTGACTGTGCTAATTCATGTCATGTGTCTGGCATAACACCTGTCGCAAAATAAGTGTTCACAAATTTTATTTTGAGGATATTTTATAAGACAGTCTTATCCATGGTTGGACTGTTTTATGCAGAAAAAAAGACATTTCTTAACCTGAATGTGGAGTGTCTCCTAATTTCTAACCATTTTTTTTTCTTTTTAAGTAGTAAAAGATCCATATAGGCCCCAGTTTTATTTCTTCTCCAAGTTAACCATCAGCAACTTTATTTTTCATATGATGATTTTTTCATGTCTCCTATCTGCTTGCCTTCCCTGGAAGTCCTCCCATTCACTGGGGTGGTGTTTCGAGCCAAGCACACACTTTCAGCACTTTTATAATTCTTATTTCCTATTGACTTTTCCTTACACAAAGAAATACATGCACACACACACTCACTCACAGGACTCTAGTTAGTACATTAAAAGTTAATTATCGGAAGGAGACTTTACATCTTTTATGTTTACCTAGGTGGAGTTGAAACACATTCTTCTTAGTAAAAAGCATCACAAAAATGGAAAAGTAAGTACCTAGTATAGTCAATACTAATATGAAACCAATATATAAATAACTATATGTCCACACACAAGATAAACACAAGTATAGTCTAGTAAGAATAGAATATACTCACTATTCCCTCACTCAATAGGAGGGAGAGGGGAAAGGGAGGAGGAAGGGTGACTGGTGGGATCTCACCTAATGTGCACAATGTCAGGGTGTTCAGCAGGCCCCCTGGGTGAAGGGCTCAACTACAAATGAACTTGACCTTACAAACAAAAACAGTGTTACCTGAACATTTGTCCCCTCATATTAATCTGAAATTGAAAAAGAAGTCAGTTATCCAAGAGTGACATTGAGGATCTATCATACCCTAATGTAAAAATACCCAACCTGCTGAGTAGAATAGGAGGATCTGCAGCCTCTGGTCCTTCTCCATCTACCCCTCAGTAGCTGAGAAATGCCCCTCATGTTGGATAATCACTGCGTTTAGCAGATTCTCAAGCTGCCAGGATATTTTTTGAATAGGATGATCAGTTTCTGCCCATCCCAAGTTTGAACAAGAGAACAGGAGGCCTTCATTATAACAGGAAATTATTTCATCTTCCTCTGAAGACACTCTATCCACCACGCGGGGACACCCTGGATGGGACCTTGCTGGGAGTCATCAGGCTTTGGAGGACCTGCATCCAGAGCACCTCAAGGCCACTTCCAGATGAAGTACGCACATCCAAGAAAGAAGGGCACAGAGGGCCAACTCTCCGTCTTCAAGATGCACCACGTTTCCCCGGGCTTTTTTTTGTTACAATATACTTGGTAGAGGCTAACGTAATCACTTTTGTGATATTTTTATTCACATGCTTTTATTCAAGAGTCAGTGTGTTTTTCTTGGTCTTTTAAAGCCAATGCATTTGTGTCCGAAATCTTTTTTTCTTACAAAGCTTATGTTTTGTAGAAAAGACATCTTTCTTCTTCTGTCGATCTTCGTTCTATTTTTGATAGAGTTCTATTTTGAATGTCCTTTGGATTTCATGCCTGCCTTCTAAGTAACAGCAACTCTGTCCAACTTTGCGCTTAATTGTGGCTCTCTTGACTCCCCCATGGTCTGGCTCATTAATAAAAGTATTAAGTAACACTCTGTAAACTCTGATCCCTACAGAATAACACATATTGTTTTTCCACATATCAATACTAAGACCTTAGTGAACACTCTGTAGGAATCATAACTCCAGCCGAGATAAAATAATATCCACACATCTGCATCTCAAACTCTGTTCTACTAACCTTGAAAGAATTCTATGTTTGAATATGTTTGGAAAATGCTATATGCCATACTGATTCTTAGATAGCCACGTGATGTTATTAAAAACATTTGAGAAGGCCTACAGTAAGTAACCTATCTTACCCAATGTTTACAAGTCTTACTTATTTCATAGAACGCTTAATAACTTTCTATAAAACACTTTTGGTGGGGACAGGCTGGTCTAAACATTTCTTGCAGTCTAGTCATACAAAAGTCATGGAGACAGATAGGAAACCCAACTAGTTCAACTGTATTCAGTCCTTTATTTTTCTCTTACCTACTAGCTGTGACATTATTTGTTTGTTCAGAAATCCAACTTGAATCGTCCACACAATATCTAGGCCTCCTCTGAGTGACAGAAAGTAATTTGATGACTGTTCTGTTATTTTCTCTGCTATTCAATTTGCATTGACCCATTTATGTTTTCCCAGGTATACACATCTGGGTGTCATTATCCAGACAGTTTCCTAAGTGCTTTATATATATTAGTTCATTCTAAACTCACAACAGTCTTATAAGATAGATTCTACTATTTTTATTTTACATGCATAGAATCTTATGATTACAAAGAAAAAGTATCTTGTTTAAGGTTTGCACAGCTAGGAAGAGTGAGAGGGAGGATTTGAAGCAGGTGTAACTTGACTGTAAGGCATACACGTTGCATTATGTGTATTACACTTGAGTGACTATCTCTGTTCTCCATGGAGATTTAGGCTCGAATTTCATATCTGTCTGAACAAGTCCATCTTCTCCAAACCTGCCTGCTTCCTAGATTTCGGCTTCTTGTTTCCTTGCCTTTC